ATCTCTCTTGTGCCTCCTTGTTCCATCGGGCAAGAGTTTGCTGCAGTAGCTCTTGCAATCAGAACCACTCTGAATCAAAGAACTTGGATGGGTTCATTCTGGCTCTGATACCAATTGATAGAACCTGTGATTAGGGTTCTATCGGGAATTGGGGATTTAGGGATTAAGAACAGAATTAGGGATTTGAGAAGAGAAAGATAGAGAATCGGCCTAGTCCTTTAGAGGGATTGGGAACGAGAATTGAGAGGATTGGGAGAATAGGGTTTAGGAAAGGGTTTCTTAATATTCTTCTTGACTGCCTCTGAATAAAGTGCTAAGTACATATTTATAACGAAAGACTCGAAAAAACCTAATAGACTATCCTAATATGACTCAATGACTACTACCATATCTAATAATATCCTAATTATAGTAATAATAATTATTATGATAAATCCAGAAAAGTCGGTTTCTATCACGTCGACCCAAAAGCAAACACCCTATGTTACCCTTGCCCTCACTAATCCCCAAAACTAAATGGCCAGAACATACAACCCTACGTACCACTAACATAAATATTCTCATAATGATAAGTTGTAATAAGTACGTCCACTCGATCGGACACACAACACATTGAATCAACTCCATACCACACTAGCTGGTGGCTAGCTAGGAACCATTGCTTAGTGTCAAAATTTAGTGATGATTATTGGAATTTAGCCCAATTGTATATGACACGAACGTGGTTGCATTTCCCAAAGAGAGGGGAAAAAACATAAAAATAGAAGACAAATTAAACAGCGTATTTGTCAGATTCCCTTAGGTATCTTGCAGCCAGATATGACAAGAACATAAAGGAGTGGGGATAAAAACAAGACAGGACACAAGAGGAGTATGTGTACAACCTACGGAACACAAGGTAGATGAAACGTTTTACATATTACGTAATGTCGCATGAGGTTGCAACAAGACTAAGAAACCCTACTGCCCTCCAAAATGTTAACTTCGTCCAACTGGCTAGGCAGAAACCCTTTGGGCTTAGCTTGTCTCCTCCTCCATGTAACCGATTTCTGTTACATCTGTAAATGTAACCCAGACACAACCATAGGAATTAGATACCTAGTTATACCATGATTATTCAAATTCTGTATGATAGTGATTCTATATACTTTTTTTGAAGCTACAAGTTTAATGTAGTGTTTGTTGAATCGTACTGGCGGTCCAATCAGGGGCGGAGCCCAGTTTGAAAGTGGTTGGATCTCGAGATTAATTTTGACGGTAGATTGAGACACAATATAAAATGACGGCATTTGTGCACAACCCACAATATTCGAGTTCAAATATCTCATGTTTACTAGTTTCACTTGTCTATATATCAACATATAGTAGAGAACTTTGTGATACATATTAACCTTGTGTATTCTATGAATAACTATATAATCTACCTAAAACTACCTCTCTAAATTTTATTTTGAATTTACTAATTCCTAATTCATTGTCAAAATCTCCACCCTCAAACGAAAATATGTCGATAACCTACGTAAACAACCTGTGTATCACTATAAAGTATAAACATTGATAAAATCATTTTATATATTTTTATTTTATGTCCGATCCACCGAGTGAAAGCCTTAGCTTGCTTCCAGGGTCCAACCTAAAAAATAGTATACAGAAGCCTAAGCCAAAACTTTTCCGTGTGAAACGGTTAAACTACAATTCAGACACAAAATACCTTATCACTCACTTATTCGAAACAATCTCCGGTATAATTTTACAATTCTTCATTAAACATTCTATTTTGAATTTATCAAGAAAATCTCAAAACCTACGATCTGCTTCCCTATCTCTCCCCATCGAAAGGTACAAGGAATCATGAAACATTAACTTGCTAATCAAATCTACCTACCTACTTATCTTCTACGTTCTCTCATCTCAGTATACAAACCTAATCACATGCTTTCTCGCAGAAGGAACCACCTAGCTAGAAAACGATCCAGTTCAGTCCATTCTCTTTCACTCTTCTGCAGAGTGTCATCTATATATTAATTATAAACTTGTTCATCCTCCCCGTACGTGTTACCTAAGCAAAACTAATTGTTTAAGGTAGCCAAACCGCGAGTGTTAATTTAGCTTCATGGGGATGTATACAAAGATCCATCGTCGTCTATATTGGTGACCTAACAATTAACATATATGTTTGTCGGCTTCTCAAAAGCATACGTGCACTTCTCGTCTCACCAAGACTTTCCTCACTCGGCAAACAAAACAAGGGTTTTCGAGTTTGGTTCGACGTACATATCTGGACAATACAATACATTGCTTTGATTGTGAATATGGAGGGATTAAACAGCCATTGCTGATCTTCGAACAGAGCAGAATTGCAGAACTGGAACAGGGCTTCCTTTTACCCAGTCCAGACGAAAGAGACGAAGATGGTTGGAACGACGTCGCAGCAGCTAAGTGGTGATACTCCACAAGTGGATGCGGCGTCGTATGCAGCAAATCCTGATTAGTGATAGGCTTTAGACACATGGCATTCTGTCATTGGTCACTTTCAATAATTAGTTATGTTACCGTTGATAAACAGTAGATAGGTTTCGTTTACTTTACCTTTCCCTTCTGTAAGCTGTATATAAACGATCAGAAAATGGAATGCAAGCCAACACGGCGAATTCCACAAAACTGCCGACTCACTTTCTCTTCTTCCTCTACGAAACCCTAATCAAATCTCTGGGTTTCTAGTTTTCTCATTGATTTGTACGTATTCTAATTTCTAATCACTCAATAAGATTGCACCACGTGTTTGCATGCGGCGTGGGAATCAATTAATCATGGTTTCTGGATTGTTCCATGCATATATATGTGGATGGAGTCGAATTCCTACTTACGTTGAAAGAACCCAAAATGACAACAATTTCTCTTGTTCGATTATTCTAATGTTTATCTTTGCGCTCTTGCTTGACTATATGTGCCGTTGCATGGCCCTCTCCCACAGTCACGTACACCTGTCGTTCCAGAGGGAACTCCATGCATGCATTTAGCTATACCTTGGACAAAAACAGACAAACTTCTTGATGGGTAGTTAAGTTTCGGCGAGATATGTTTGGTTCCTCTTTGACTTGGTGTGTTTCTCGGCTTATAAGTAGGTGATCGACTAGTAATATTGGATATACTCCAAGAAACAAGACAAAAACTAGTTTCTGTCGCTTGATATGGTAACAAGTAGGGTTTGGAGGTAATGGGTTATTCTATTTGGTTTAACTATTGGCGGGTAGTGATATGGCTCTCTGGGAGGAGAACATTTGGCTTATCGGTTTCGTTATGGGGATCCTGATAATGAAGTGTCGACTAAGATTGGTGAAGCTAGGTTACTGTTGTGTTTTCATGATTTGAGCTCTTCTGACTTAGTTTTGAAATATATTACATGTGACTCTAACAAATGGTGAGTTTGGATTGTACCGCGAGTAAGGAGTGTTTAAGATTCATTCACGAATCCTCTATCAGCAACTCGAACTATAGAGGTCAGTTGGTTTATGGTACTGTCAGAGCGGTTTGTTATTGAGATCAGGTGTTCAAGTTCTCACGATCGACCTCCAATATTAATCATGCGTTCTCTTAAATTACATGGCATGAGTGGCATGTTCAAACTTTAAACTCGTGAGTTATCTTTCGTTTGCGGGTTCGTGTATGAAAGTGGTCAAGATTCATACATGAACATCTCTCAACAACTCGAGTTATTAGTACCAGTTGGTTTATTACATGGTATGATAACGATTTGTTATTGAGTTCAGGTGTTCAAGTTCTCACGATTCTCAATATAAACCGTTATTTTAAATCACATGATATGAGCAACATGTGCAAACTTTAACTCCATAAGTTGGCTTTCGTTATTTTATTATATTTTCTTATACACCTTATTATCTTGCCACATATGCTACATATTAAATCAACAATTAATATTAAAGATTATTAAGATTCGAAACATGTCCATCGGTAACAACCGACTTCTCTTACTCAAATTATCAGAAATCTTCGAAACGCTGCAAGTAGTCAAACTTCACACGTGAATGTAAAATATCTTCGGACAATTAGGTATCTGTGTACTTACTCTATTTCTTTATGAATATAGTTCATAATATATTATCTTAATTCCAGATATTATGAACTTAAATATTCATTTTGCTAGGGATCGAATCGTGCCAACCTTCTGGGGATATGGGTATCCATTATCGTTCCTAATCCTAGCTAGCTACGTTAATTTCAAGCCGCTGGTTAATTACTGTTAACTTCCCAAGATAAGTACATTGAAAACCCACAACTCCACGATTCCTAATTAATGAACAGACTCAACAATGCCCTTCTCTTGACAAGTGTTGGGAGGAGAAATCATCAGTCCAGCTTAAGCTAAGTTTGAAATATATGATTATAATTATTACTTGCGATTATGAAATTGTTTAATTACTGGTAAATGGCAAATTTAGTTGCTGAGATAACTACAGAATTGTTTCACGTTTCTCATTTTAAAATTTTTATTCTATTAGTCACTGAATTAATTTAATAATTCAAGTTTTTATCATTGCCCGTTATCTTCCATCTATCTCCTTTAAAATTGACTTTCCTTAGGTCGAGCCGGTCAATAAGTCATGAGTTGGGTTATTTCACATTTATAAATAAAAAAAAGTCATGAGTTGGGTTATAATTGTTGATTAAAAAAAACAATTATATATATGTATGTATGAGTTTTTTAAATCAGTGAGTTTGGATTACGAGTTGCTTGAGGTGAGTATATCATTAACTAATTAGTTTTCAATAACTTGAGTTATTTTGTTCGGATATGTTCAATGGAATTTTGGAAATTTTTCTATAAAGAAAACCATACCATATCCATAATATATCATATCTTCCCTTTTTTACATAGAATCATATTGGATCAAATTCCATTTCAATTTATTTGTTAATTTGTTTACTACAGGTCACAAAAAACCATCTATCGTAATTAATAATATAGTACTGAATGAGAATTAAATAGGCGGCTGTGGTGGAATTACGCCACAGTGAACTTGGCAAGCACATGTATGGAGAGAGCCAGAAGGAGTGCTGTTACATACGCAATTTGTGGCATTCACATTCCCGTACTTCCCATACTTGCCTAAAAACTCTATATAGCACTGTTCAGGCCCGCATCCTCCAATAAATTCGTCCGTGAATTCACACCATTTCACATCATCGCCATCCACTGTAAAAAAAAAAAAAAGAGAGAGAGAGAAGAAGAAAAAAAGTTCACTAAACAAACTGATCATGAACGATGGCTAGGGATGAGAATTTGAATTTGTCACGTCGGGTATTGTCTGCCTGGCCTGGAGATGGAGTGGGTATCATCCGATCCGCAATAACATGGGGCGGGACGTGAGTATTATCTATTTCTGACTCACTCTACTTCACCCCGCTCTGTTATTGGCTCATTTTATATCGATTTTACAACATCTATTCTTATTTTGATTCGCATATATGAGATAATATAATTGAGATTTAATTTATTCACTCATTGTCGCGAAAACCTTAATTAATTACCTTCCCATGCCACAGCTAAGTTGAATAGTAGGATGCCAGAGATGAACACAACTAGTGGTGCGACCTTTGTCATTTTAATTCAACTCGTGTACTCGATATCAGAACTAACCTCAGCCGACCAATATTTCTCTCGTTCTTTTATGTTATGTTTTCAACTATTGGTATTGGATAAAAGAAAACAAGTGATATATAAGAGAGAGTTTGGCAATTCAATTAAACATTTTGATTAATATAAAAAAATTGTTATAGTAACTTATCTAAAATAAAAATGAAATTTGGTAATCGAGTAATAACCGTCTTACATTTAGGTTCTGCTTCCACTTAATTTGGTGCTCAAAATCTGCCCCCAGAGATTTTAATTTGTTGCCTATTTTCAAGAATGATACTTGAAAATAAAGAAAATAAAATAAAAATTTAGATAGAGGATAAGATGCATAGCCCTTTAATAATTATAATTAAATCTGGGCCCTTAATTTTGAGTGGGCCAGAAGGACCCAGATTTATGAGGGAGGATCCAGTGACTAAGGGGGGGTGTTTAGTCACTTGACTAAGCTCCTCTCAGCCCTTAGATCTGGATACATCAATCTGACGGTTAAAAAGTGGGAAGGGCTATTTAATTAATGACAATGGTAGTTTGGGTATTATGGAAAATTACGAAGTATACAAACCAGACTTGCAATCAGTACAAACCATACAAACATAAAAACAATACAAACTACAGCGACAAAACATACAAACAGATTTACAAACATTACAAACATATGAACTGGACAAACAGTACAAGCTAGACTGACAAACAATACAAAGCATACAAAAAAGAAAAAACAACTGGGTTGACTTTGGAGGCTCCATCCCTATATAGAGGGCTCCCTCCCAAAGTCAACCCAGTTGTTTTTTAGGCATACAAACATTACAAACATAGTGGACAAAAATGACAAACTAGACCGACAATCCATACAAACTGGAAAAAACACCCGGGTTGTCTTTGGAGACTCCTTCCCTATATAGAGGAGTTTCATCCAAAAGTCAACCAGCTTGTTTTTTAGACATAAAAAACATTATAAACATGGTTGACAAAAATGATAAACATGGTGCACAAAAATAACAAATCTTACAAACATTACAAAAGAACCCGACAAACATTACAAAATAACAAAGCTTACAAACATTACAAAATAAACCGACAAACAGTACAAAGCATACTAACTGTACAAAATATCACTAAAAATGACAAACAAGAATGATAAACAATACAAACCGAATCAATACTAACATTACAAAATAGTTCAACTAACGTCAAAGTTTGAAGTGTTGATATTGTTATAAGGAGTTTAACTCAAGATTTTGGTTTAGCAGAATCCCTACCAGAAATGTCAAAGTTTCAATCTCAAGATGGACTTCTCCTAGCATATAAAAATATATTGGATACTCATCAAATACAAACGTTTTGAATTCTTATCATGTCTCAAAATGGGAGATTTCTATAGGTTTTGGTTTAGAGGTATGATTGCGAGATTTCAATTTGGAGATTCAGATTTGAAACTCAAGGTGACTTCTCCTAACATTTACCAAATACTTATATTTGATTATTATCAAATATTAAACGTTTTGAATTCTAATTGTGTCTAAAGAAAGATGCAACACGAGTACTTTTCAAGATGTCATCAATTTTAGTAGTATTATTGTCGTCTGAGCGCGTTTAATTTCAAAGTTGTGATAATATTCTAAACAAAAATAGTTTACAATGAACTCATCCCCAAAATCAAGATTGTTAACCCTCAAACTGACCCAGTTGCGGTGGAAAAAACATGTGTAGCACATCCATTTTGAACTTCCCCCTGATTCATAAAACTCTCTTCAATCTGGTCAAAATCTGGCAAAATTGGCTTTGACCGGTCACAACTTGGCAAAATCGATCAACGAACTTTCATTCCATAAGGCCACTTTGCTTGGTTTTCATAGGTACAAATCTCACGCTACTATCACTTCATATCAAATTCAAGCTTTCCTTTATTGGTTAAGAAAGGGAAAATGACTTTTCTTTCTGCAGTTTGCTCAGTTTGGGTCAAATCCTTTTTTTTTTCATACTGTAATTAGGATTTAAAGTGATTGTACATAAATAATTTCAAATTTCAATGTTCGGTTGTTCAATATAAGCATGTCCAATGCAGTCAAAATCAAAATATAAAACTTAAAACTTACGCTTTTACACTTTTAACTCACCAAAGCGCTTCTAAATAGAATCACACTTTTCTCTTATAAGTGTAGTAAAAAACTATGCTTTAAAACTTAAAATCTTACTATTTTACGATTCTAGGTCATCAAAACATTTCTACGTAGAATCGCGCTTTTGACTACATTGAGCATGTCATAATCTTGGGATTTCAATCCTTTGAAGTAAAAGCACAAATGATGGCTTTGAACTCTTCTAATCACGAGTTCTATCTATATTCCCCAGGTTGTTCATGTTCATTCAAGTTGTCAATCAAGAACTTTTATGGCGAATTTAAATGTTTTTTAATTTGTACTATAGGATGAATTCAAGTACGAACTATAATTTTCAGTGGCGTATCCAGGGGGTCTCTCCGGGCCACGACCCAGTCCTCCTCTCGCTTCAGACTTGTATAGCACTTATAAAATTTCAATTTGAGGTATTTGGCCCAGTGCTAGTGGGGTCATGACCTCGTCCTCATCACCTCTTTTCAAATGTGGCTCAGTGCTCTACTATGTCCTAGATCCGTCACTGATTATTTTAATTTAATTTTATATATTATTACTCATAAATCATGTGAGATGATATAATTTATATATATATGGTTATGTCTTCGGTGCACTCACTTTTTCGGGTGCATTCAATGCACCCGCCACATAATCGGCATTCTGAGCAGGCGATTCATGTGAAAACGATGTCAATCATCACTTGTGGTATGATGAACAAGAACCACATGAATTTGTACAAAAATCATTCAAGATTCACTTTAATTTGAATGATTCAGGGTTTAGGAATTTAGGGTTAGGGTTAGGGTTTACAATTTGGGATTTTGAGTTGAGATTCAAAATTGAAGGTTAATAGGTTAGGGTAATGGGTTTATTAGTTGTGATTTTGTGTTATATCATCATATTAGACTAATGCAACCCATTAAATTTTAAAATTTGATGTATAATGACCACTTTTAGAGGTGGGTGCACTGTATGCACCCAAAAAAGTGAGTGCACCGTATAAAAACAATGTAACGATTTTTTCATATATTCGGCTTTAGCCATGCTAAACCAGACAAACAATCAGACCATTAACTTTTCACTCACTTACCCGACTGGAGTCGAGCCAATAGTCTAAAGCAGGTTGACAAACTTGCCTAAAACAAAAACTTGGCTATCCTGCCGACGTAGAAGGTGAACAAGACGCGATCCAACTATATCAGTCCCTTTTGGTCATCTACGTACAATACAATTGAACCCTAGAAATATACAGGTTGATAGCAAGGGTTATCGGGGTTTACTCGGTTCTGAAAGACTATAGCCCGTTTGGAATCACATAAAATTCAGGAAATATAATTCTATTACCCAAAGTTTTCGTGATCTTCAGGATTAAAATGATTAAAAAACATCACAATGAATTGTAAGAGGCAAAAAAAAAAAAAAACTTAGAAATTAGATCCTTCCAAAAGTTCTAGGATTTGTTGGGATGGGAGCCTATCGATCTTTCGGATGGATGTTGGTCCCAACATTCGAATTCGGAGTGAAACGGATTCTCTCGTCTATCTATATTATCAATAGGCTAACCTCTTTGAGGTCTGAGCCTTACTTTCTAGCTAATTAATGGATGAATCTCAATTCTTAATACTCTAAACTCAAACTATAAATCAATTTAATCAAAAAATAATAACTGATGGTTCTGATTCGTAGAAATACATTTATTAAGTGTGAACGGAGAGTTATTATACGATAGACATACGCGAACCTTTGTCATACATATCTGGTAACGGCTCACATACTCCTAGAGCATACCATACTCCAAGTGATATTTGACATAAATTGATTTTTGGATTTAAATTTAAAGAATCAAAGATCTGAGATTTATCCATTACAAGTTAGGGTACAAAATTATACTCTATATTCAACTTAATTCATGAAACCGCCTAAATATACTCTATATTCAACTTAATTCTTGCGACCCTTTTGCCCCCACTAGCAATGCAATATATTTTTGTAAAAAAAAAATAGCAATGCAGTATACGTAGTTTGAATATGATGGACTTGACAAGCGTGTATAGCTAGATTGCCCAATTATGATTTATATATAATAACACCAGAAATAATGAAAAACACACAGGCGACAGCGACTTCTGAACAACCAACATTAATTCATGAACTAATTTCAACACAACTTGACTATACTAACACATATGCAGTGTATAGCTAGCTAGCCACAGAACAAATCATTACGCTGTCTGGCTAGCTAGTTGCGTAATCCCAGAGTAAATCCATCGTCATAAACAGAAATTAAAAACCCAGGTCGACTAATTAAGTGAGAGATTAATGTCTACAGAGCTTCCACTCAAATCGAAAACATGGGACAAAAAGGCATGCTTTCGAGGATTTAAAAAAAACATAGCAGCAGTTAATCTCCACTCCACTTATTGGTTGGTACAAGTGTGTAGCTGATCAATCGTTTTGTGGGAAGTTGCGATCTGTCAGCACAGGATAACGCAGCATGTTACTTTTGGGAAATTGAAGCTTTTCTTTAGCTCGTGCCATATCACAGTTCTGGTCTTTTGCTTTGCTGCCCTCTTGTGATTGTAGAAAACAAAAGCTTACCACTATTTTTGTATTGATATTCTTGTGGGTGATTATTAGAAGATTTTCTCACAAAATGCTACGCCACGAGAATTCAACCCAAAGAATATCGTAACCAACATATTTGTCAGCTCTGTGTAGAATGTAAGGGTGTAACCTTGGTCCTAGAGATCCATTGATCTGCCCCGATCTTGATTGTCGGTTGGGTCAGTTTGGGATCATGTCATCTTTTGATCGAGTAGGGTTGGGTCTATTTAGAACTGGGTCACTTTTTAATCGTGTGTTTCCATAGACCATAGCAACAAATAATGATATGAAACAAGTTCCTCATGCTAACATATAGGGCCAAGGGCCTGTTTATAAGATTTTAAAAGTTTAGGTACTATAGTGCAAGGTATAGATGTAAAGGTACTAAAACACAATTTATCACCAAATTTTGTGGACCTATTTGTAAAAACAATGAGCTTTAGGTATGAGATAGTAAGAAAAACAAATTTTGTTACCAAACTATAATTTTCAGAAAAATCTATATATTGATTTGAGCCGACCCACTGACCCAACCCTAAAGATCGTATAGAGTCAAGAAAGAAACAAAGGTGTAAACAAAACAGGTCAATTACACAAGTTGCCTTCAAGGATTGGCCAGACAGGACCAGAGACGCATCATTGCCAAATTTCAGCCCTAAATCTAATCTGATTCAAAGACACTATTGGGTTCAATTACTTGAAACTCCTCGGAGAGAAAAGCGTTTATAACTTCCTCTACACTGATAAGTGATAACTCGTGGACTACCCAGCTTCAACAGATTCTCTTGTAATCTGTCCAGAAAGTGGAGCATGTGTGCTCTGTAATAGTTGAAGAGCGTTGAAGCAAAGGACTAATAAAGAAAGCATGTGGGGTTGGTCCTAGCCTCCTAGGAGAGGTCCTCTGAAGCAAAAAGGACATCTCATTGGTCCATATAAAACCGCCCAATCGCTGCTGATCCGTTGTTTTCTTTTGTTACCGTGCTTCAAAGTTTCAGCATTGTAACAAACAAACAAATGAAGGAGAAAAACAAGCAACCGCCCAAGGAAGGAACTGTTGCCTCTTCACATCAAACTTAGAAACGCCGCCAAACAACACAGTCCTTACATGGGAAGGAAAGTTGCATGCAGTTTCCAGCTGCCATATCAGCATATGAAAACTCCCTGTAATCTTTTACCAGCAAGGACTCTGTGAATTGGCTTTCTCATTCTGTCGCCAAGAAAATTGAAGAAACGAGCAAGAGTCACATTTCTAAGGGCTGCAAACGGAAACTATAGCCAATTCGATCTAATTCATCGTTCACTGTAAGATGGACAGACTGCCAACCAGAACTCTCAAGATACGGGAGATGTTTCCATAATTCCATGTACAGATGCAATACAAACTTTCCCAAAAACAGAGACCTCATGGGCTCATCACAGAGGACTTGAGGTATGATCTGAAACCAGGACGACGATGAAGAAAGTCGGAACAAGAATTGTTCACTTCGGTCCAGCAAATTTGCTCATCATTTTTGCAATTACCGGAGCGACCTTCGGATTAGACTGGTGCTTCGCAAGGTTGGCAGGGTTCTTCATAACTGGAACAAACACAAAGGTGACACATTCAAGCATCATACATCTATATTCAGAAACATCAATGAAGTAGAAGTTGAGGCCTAAGTTATGATTACTTGCAATAATTGCATGCCCAATATTTTACCCCAATCACTTATCCCACTAACCAAGGCAAAGCAGAAGTTAATGGTAGTTATGCCAATTGAACACCATTCCATAGCTAAAACACCTAAAAGAAATTAAAGCTCTAGTTTCTTCTTTTCCTGGAAACCATTTTGTAGGTTCATCAGAACCAAGTCCCATCTAATGCCTTGTAGCAAGTGCCCATCTGTTCTCAGGAGTCTCAAAATCTCTAGGGGCCAAGAGAACTTATATGGCCTTAAGAATTGTTATTTCCGGGTTTGTTCATCTACATCTAATGGGAAAATTCCCTATTCTCCAAGTCCAGCATTGAGTTAAACAGGGAAGTTGACCATGAATGAAGAACACAAAATTGGTCGAAGTTCACAGTTTGACACAACAAAACAAAGAGACCTGACAGAAGCATTGTGGAGTACTTGGCATGTAAAAGCACTTACCATCTTGAAGAGCAGCCATAATCTCTGGATCGCTAAATGCAGCCATCATGTCAGGGTCCTGCCAATCATTGTATACAATTAACAGCATAGCAAACAGAAAGCAACAATGTAAAACTATACAGGAGTTTTTATATTCTCCCAGTCAATACTACTCCGAGGTAAAAGAAAAAATCATTGCTAATGAAGCCAACCGCATCCACTAAAACAGATTATAATCGTAGTACCAGATATGCCATAGCAGCTAACTCACCTTTGATGAATATAGAAAACAGCCTATTAATTATTTGGACAATACTCACATTCAGTATTTTGCTGAAATCAACATTTCCAGGCGCTCCACCTGGCATGCCACCAGGAAAGCCACCTGGCATGCCACCAGCTCCAGGAAACCCTCCAGGCATACCTCCTGCTCCCGGAAACCCTCCAGGCATACCTCCTGCTCCTGGAAACCCTCCAGGCATACCCCCTGCTCCCGGAAACCCAGGCATGCCTCCTGGGAAACCTCCAGGCATTCCTCCTGGAAACCCTCCAGGCATTCCACCGGATCTTCCACTGGAAGATGATTGCTCTTGCTTCTTAGCCTTCTCATATTCGGCCTTCATAGGCATCACACAACCACAAAATTGAAAATTCAGAGACTTATCTAATGGGGGTGGAAAGTATAGCAGAAGATCACATAGATGAAGAAAAAGCAAGGAAATGGAGCTTGGATGAATCTAAGTTAGTGAATCACAACTCACTTGAGCTTTAGCACGGCGGCGTTGCCTATCCTTCTCAGCCTTTCTATCCTCTCTCTCTTTCCGCAACCTATCATACTTCCTACGGTGCTCCTCAAGCTTGTGTGCATTGGGTTCAACCTACACAGTAAAAGAAGTCAGCAATTAACTCAACCACCTCAAGACTATTAAGTGTAAGAAACACTTGGACCATGCCACTTCATTGGCACTGTACTGTAAAAACTGGGCATAGGTGAGAGTACAATCAGACAGACCTTCTTAAGAACCGCACTTATCTCCTCATCATAATCCAACTTAGACGCAACGTGAAGATCCTTAGCAGCCTCCTCCCACTGACCAAGCAACGAGCGTGCCATGCCACGAGCTTTGTATCCCTTAGCGGAGTCTGCATTTATCTGTCCATTGGAGATTCAAATGACCGCTTAAAACTAGACAACTATACTCAAGCTACATATAATTGCTAGTTCGGCAGGCAACAAACCTCAAGAGCAGCATTGGCATCCCTAATAGCAGCATTGGGTTTCTTCATCTTGATATAAACAGTGGCTGTCATCACCAATACAAAGCCAATCACGAGAGCAGCTCAAACCAGCAACACACAGTCTCTCCTAAGGAACATTCAATCAATCGAACACCATACCTCTAGTCCCGTACATTATAGCAGAGAGCGGATTGAGCAGGATAGCTTCGGTCAAATGCTCAACAGCTTCTTCTAATTTACCTAGAGAACGAAAAACCAATAGATTCTATTACGACACTCAATAGACAGCAAGCAAACAAGACGCAGGCTAGCAATGAAGAAATGAACACTTAAGTCATGCCTTCCGAGATAGCTTCCATGGCTTTGGCCTTAGCCTCCTGTGAAGCATCACGGCTTTCCTCAGTGACCTCTACCGACGAATCTCCCATCTAAAGAACAGCAGCACAATTTCAAGACCGTCTCAATCACATAACAAACAACTGAAATTCGAAGACCTAAGAACTTCGTTCGATTACCTTTTGCGGAGGATCATTGTCAGGCTCAACAGTCTCGCCTTCCAGCTCGACATCGGACTCAATTATCTCATCCTCCTCTTCTTCCTCCTCCGGTTCTTCAACCGACGGCGATTCCTTCTCCGGAATCTCCTCGTCGCTCTCCTCGTCTACATGACTCTTCTGCAAATCACACACGAAACGAAACGATCCTAAGACGAAAACAAACAGGCACAAACGAGAAAACCTAAGCAGCGGGAGGAACAAACTTCGGGCTTACCGATCCGGAGTAAGCAGCGGGAGGTAGTTTAGCACCGAGACTGAAGGCAACAAAAAAAAAACAGGCAACAGTAAATGCAGAGAAACAGAAGCAACCATCACTGAGAGCTCAGCATAGAAGCAGAGGCAAGTAGTAGATACCTCTCGAGGTAGTCGCGGAAGAAGGCGAGGGTGGGATCGGTGAGAACGGAGGGATTGGACTTGCAGAGCTCGACGAAGTTCTTCAGCTCCTTGAGTTTGACGGCGTCCATTGCGCGAGCTTGGAGTTACGGATTAGGTTTACAAAGGGAAGGATGGGGATTGAAAGATCGGAGATGGAGGGAATTTCCTCGATGGTTTTGGAGTGGGAAGTGGGAAAGTGTAGGGAAGAAGATGGTGGAATGAAGGAAGGGAGACCGGCCGACTAGGTTGGATTTTACTTCTTCTAGTAGCTTCCTCGATGACTCTCTAGTCTACACTCTACAGTACCGGGAGAGATTCTGAAGGGATTTCGGTTTTACTTGGGTGCGTTTGGATACAATGATTTGGATTTGGTATTTGTGATTTGGATTTCCAAATACTAAATCATGTGTTTGGATATTAATTACATTTGGTATTTGGATTTGTGTCAAATTCATGGGGTGATTTCCAAATACATGTCTAGTGTATTTTTTGTCAACTTCACATACATTTCAACAACTAGTGATTTGAAATACCTCCTAACAAAAAAATGGACCTATTTGTAAAATATGAAAAGTTTAGGTACTATAGTGCGAGGAAAAATATATAGAGGTACCAAAATGTAATTTTACCATCAAAATTTCATGACCTTTTTGTAAAATTTTAAAATTTTAGGTACTAAGTTGTAAAATAAATAAATTTGGGTACCAAACTGTAATTTACCAAAATTTGTAGTAAGTGACCAGAAATTTAAAAATTGAAATTCAAAATCATAAAATTCAAAATACAAACAAATTACAAATGAGTATCCAAACAATGAATTTGAATTACATGTATTTCAAATGCTAATATTTCAAATACTTCCATTTCAAATGCTAGTATTCCAAATACCTTACATTTAAAATACACTTATCCAAACGCACCCTTACTGGATTGGATACGATCGGGTTTAACAATGGGCGCGCGCCGCGGCCCTAGGGGCTAGGGCCTAGACTTCACCGTCAGTCCGTCCATGTTTCTGAAGGGATTAATCCTTTTAATTTTCGGTTACTATCTACAAATATATTATAGCAGAATTAGTAGTTATAATTATTATTAACTTTTTATTCATAAAACAATATATCAATCTCGTTATTTGAACCATGATCTTTCCAAATAAAAAAGACAATCATTACCAATTACATTAAAAAAATATTATGTATCGTTTAAATACAAAATCTGAAAACCTAAACTTTAAAAATCATACGACTTTTTCGTTACTGTTAGCTATCCCACTAACTCTCTCGTAAGTACTTTATTTTTTATTTGATATTTGAATTTTCATATTTTGATTATTTTAATTTGAGTTTAATAATAAATTTAATTTATATCTATCTTATAAATGGAAGATAATTTAAAAATTGTAACCCAAATATCATTGATTCGAATATTGCATATTGAATTGTAATATTTAATGTGCATATGTGATATAGAATTCTTAACTTGGTACTGATTTTTAGAACTATTAAAGCAACGATAATGTTATGCAAACTGTAAGTGACCAGTTTTTTGAAAGTTTTCGTTTGGTTACCGTTAAATCCTAAATCTCTTGAAAGTCGAGTTTAAAATACCACAATTTCTGAATACCAATTTTTCTATATGATTTCAATTTTTTTAATTTTTTTATCTTATAGGTTAATTGAACATATGCATCATTCATAGTTACTTAGTTTAACATGAAATAACCGCAGTACAAGACAAATCATGAAAGTCGAGCTGGAGTTTTCATGGACAAATCATGAAAGTCTTACTAATTTTGGTATTGTATTGTGCTGAATACTTTAAGTTTTAGATATTGCTATATATGTATTGTTTCTCAAGCAAAAGAAATAAATATTAACTAAAGGTTATGATCATGAGTTTCCTATTTATGCTATGCTTTTTTCAAACAAACTCTTTTTTTGTTATGCCAATTTTCTTTGCTACCATAGGCAACTAAGTGACTACATCATTAAATAGACAAGTTATGAATGGTTATTCACGAGTGTTACAACCAAGGTTGTTACGCCTTTACCGGGAAGCTGCTTGGACTAGGTCCGACCAAAATAGTGCTCCACAACGGGCTCTACAAAACCAAGGCCTAATCGTTAGAGACGGATAAGAAGAGAGAGGAAAAGGGGAGGGGGGGAGAGAGGCAAGTGAGTGGTGGGTGGATCTAGAGATAAGTGTTTTTTATGGAATTTGAGTTTTTAATAGATATAGGTGAGTACATTTCATTTTAGTTACTAAATTTCTATATTATATGTAAATATATTTAGAAATGTGTAAAACGGCTCAAATAGTTTGGACTTCAATCAAACCATTAAACTTCAAACAACTTGTTTGACCGTCTCAACGACTTAAACCGGTTTGACAACTTTGTTTATAACCATTAAGTTTACAATGTTCATCATTGATGAAAAGTTATAAGAATTTCGAAAATTGAAAAATAATTTTGATGTCACGTTAATGTCATACGAAATTCAGCATTTCAAATAATTTAAAAAATATAAATACACATATTTATTGTATTCAAATAACATTCAGACCAACGGCTCGGGCAATTTTAAAAGATATTCCTCCAATTTTCATATGAATCCTTTATTAATTTTGTGGATATCTCTCACGGATTCATTTATTGTTGCTTGATCTACAAAATACTATAAGGGGTCGTTTGGAAGTTGCGATTGTTAAATAGATGTATTGTTGAGAATGCATGTATAATATTATACATGTATTGTCGAATTTGATGCATTGTAGAATACAACGTTTGGTATGTGTGATTGTGTATGTCGCATCAGCTAAAAGCTGAGACAAAACAATCTCAACTCAACTATCTCAACAATCACAACTAAAAGTTGAGATATAACAATCATTCAAAATGAGTGATAGTTTCTGTCACATCACAGAAACAATCCATGTATTGTTTCTGCTAAAAAAACAAAAAAAACGATACATTGTAAACAATACATGCATAATGACAATCTCAACAAAACTATCGCAACTTCCAAACGACCTCTAAAGCAATGTCAAAAAAAGCATTTGCCACGTCAACCTATGCTGAAACGGCCACACATTGCGGAAGGTTCTTTTTGTAATTCCGAATTCATCTCCCTGTAACTTCCAATCTCCTATCGGAACGGAAAGTGAACATCCTTCCTTGCGTACACTTAGGAGGATCTTCCCATATTCCTCGCTTTCTATCTTCTAGCCGGCCGAAAATCTCACCACTACTCTCGTGCCGTCTCTTCCCGGCCCTCATCTCCCTTCTTCCTCCACCCGCTCCACTATTGTTGTAACCAATCAGCGCCGAGGACCCCCTAACTCGGATCCAATCCTCAATGACGACCCCACAGCCGACGACCCAACGTCCAGAGGCGGCGTGGTCAGCGACAAGGGTAGCTGCGGCAGGGGAGACCTTGGCAGGGTTCTTGGCGGGCTCGATAACGTAAACGATGGGGATGGATGGAAGCTTGGATCTAAAACTGATTGTTGACGAATTGGGTTGTTGTTGGTGGATTGGAGCTAATTGTTGGAAGAGAGCGGGTGAGGTGAGGCGTAGAGGGACTTAGAAGAGAGATTAGAAAGCATCGTTTCAGAATTGAGAAAGAAATTTTATACTCTGTGGGGAGGTGGTAGTTCGTCGGTGGCTAGGGGAGAATCGAGAAAGGAGACAAAGGGGAGGTTGGATCCGCTCTTCCATCTTCAATCTGTCACAAATTCGATCCCACTCCCTCGAATTCCTTCTCTAAGCCTGTTGTATCTTCCATCTTCAATCAGGTCCTCGCACCGCAGAGCCATCGCCGCTGGAAACACGATGTCATCCTTTTATTCCCTTTCCGGTGACTAATTTGAACTTTCTGACCTTAGCATTTGCTTGGCAGTCGTTGTTATCGAGGTTTGGACTTAACCGACCGACAGTGGATAGCTGCAAATTGTGGCTCCTCTCTCCCCCAGTCAATGGATCCTCTCTCTATGAAATGAGTAGCTATTAGCTTTGCTAGGAACTAATTAGCAGCTTCGCAGATTTTCAAAGCAAATATGTCACAAGACTGCAAACGAAACTGTAATAAAGAAGAACATAAGCAGACATCATAATTGAGGAGTTCCAAATCCCAAATAAAAGTTTTGATTTTCGTCGCCAGCACAAGTTTCTTTGCCTTCCATGTTGAATTGGTATTTGATATTCACTATTACTAATTGTGTTATTTTTGTTCCTTTGGTCATTCTGCTAAGTTAATCTGGGTGCATGCAGTGTCTTTTGATCGTGATCTTAACTCTTAACTATTTCTAGATAAATGTGTATCAATTTATCCATTAATGGTTCAAAATAACCCGACTGTTTCTAGCCATAATAACGGTTTGATCTGACCATTATGGGACAATTAATTTAGTTTGTTTTCAGTGGCATATCCATTTGTGTACTTCCTACGACATGTCTAAATTATTCAACCGCAAGAATAATTTTTTTATTTTATTTATCTTTCTCAAACTCCTCCGACCAATGGGTTGCTGAGAAATCTACAACAAAGCTTCATGACTGTCTCGACTAATAAAATTCATAACTGAGATTTAATCGAGACTGATGAAGATGAAGGCAAATATCATGCTCTGATTTACAAATACAACAATTAGGTGGAGGACTTTTTTTAATAGGGAATTAGATGGAGGAATTGATGTTGATATTTAGGTGATAAAAGGTAATTCGGTGCTCATGGTAACTAATAGTAGGCCTTTTACTCAAGGGTCAAGGCTCATATATTGATGAATATTGAATACCATAACTGAAACTATGAAAATACACCATTTAGTCATTTTTCGATTATTCAGCTCTGATACTTTCACTCAAACCCAAATAAACTGATTGATAATGAGTAAGGACATGAGTGAAACATATATGAGTTTGGATAACGAGTATGTTTGGATAGGGTATGAAAGTACCATAGACAAATAATTAAACTAGAACAAAGTATATATGTGCAACCTCTTCACTCCACCTGACAATAGAGTAAACCAAAGTATACCATTAGATTTTGTCCTCCACCGGCCAACGGGCCGGGACCAATGCTAGTTGATGATATCCCCGTGGGCCATGAGTGATGGACTGATGATATTCCATACACAAAAGTAGATTGAACTCTTTTCTTTTAATTTGTTGAGTTTTCATAGTTGATGGTGAATAATATAACTAGTTGAAAAAAAAAAACAAAATATGATAAATATATTTAATATAGATAGATATTATAAAAAACAAGTCGAATTATACTCATGTTTTATTCAGATAATACTCGCCTCACTGCGATTCAGATTGGATAAATACCCGACGAGATAGACTCAAATTGCTATCTATATCTCCTGCAGTATTCAAATAAAAAAGGCTCAGTCTCCTGAAGTCTCATAAGTCATAAGTTATAACATGTCACATAGGCCCGCTGCGGGCCTGACTACGTAATACACAATATTCTCTCAACCCAAATTTAAATGATGGCCCAGATAATTAGCAAACTGCAGGGGCAAAGCCCAACATATTTCACAATTCCTACCGGATGCTGCATTTCTTGGTTGGGCGTCCGTCGTTGATCTTTCTTTCTTCTTTTTTTACAGTTGCGCTGAAGATTTAAATTCGGGATGTGGTGAGTCAATCCCTTGAAGTTGTTGATATGTTTTTTCCCAACTAATCATGCAGTTAATTAAGTTTCCAACAGTTCCCTATTGTGTCCCTCAATGTCTTTCCTTGGAGATATATGATAAAATTGTTTCGACACCCCCAATATCAAGAAAATGAATGTTGTACTGAAGAAGAAAAGGACGACAATACGAGGGATAAGAATGAAACTGCAATACTTTGAAGCATCAAATGATAACTAAGACTCAACAAACAACATCCTTGACACTATTAGCCACAGACCATAGTACCTTAACATAAACCCAACAACTTAATTACTCTCTCCCCCTCTCTCTCCCTGCATAATCCTTAATCCACAAACAATGTCACAATCCCCACCCTCTCCTCTACAAATGTCACAAACACTAGACAATTATAATGTCTCTAAAACAACAACGATGCAACCCATATCAAGCCAAAGCTCCATAATCCAGTCCATGCCATCATCCTGCTCCCGTTGTTCGAGTTCGACCCTGCCACATCAACCAAACGCACAAAACAAAACGGTCAAGTAAAACCAATAAACTAAAAATGACTGATTAGTTTGAAGAGGTCATTCATGGCGAGCTAATTAAACTATGGCTTAACCAAAACCCTTATTTTAATAAACTGAAATGAGGCCCGTGAGGAATGAAGATCCAAACGGGATCTCTAACGAATTGTATTCTTCCTCCTACTCCCAATCAGGCAATCACGGATCACACTGCCTAAAAGAAACCTTTGGGGAATTAGGACAATCAGATGTAGACAGACATAACTTATTGCCACGGGAATTATTGGAGTCTAAGAATTAAGGCGCCGAAAGAGCAAATGCCATCGCACGATGAAGACAAAAGCCTGGCGTTCAATTCTATATAGGGTTTGAACTTTGGAAGTAAACGAAGAAGAAGATTAGTGGCACGTGGATCTCTTTTCTCTCCCTGGCAGAGAGCAAATTAATAACTCCCTCCACAAAGGAGTCCTCACATCACATGTTCCTTGAGCTAAATGGCTAACCAACAAGGGATGAGTTGAGACTGAGAGTTGACACAGCACAGCACAAGTTCAGAATAGTAAAAAAAAACCGTTTCTGTTTGCCCAAAAGAATAATGCAGCGTGGGTTTACTGTTCGCATTTCCTAACAAATCTAGAACGCCACACACGCCAATTATGAGTTCAAGCGATCGTATTCTACTCTGCTTCAAACTTCTTTTCATACCAAGAGAAGCATGAACTACTCTATAACAAACTGCATGACACTTTTTTTTTCTTCCTTCGCGAAACGTTTCTTTTCATTTTGTTATGGTGGGCCTGGAATGCATGACCCAATATGGCTCGAAATCGGAAGCCAATCGAATTAGTATAGGACCGGATTGAAAAATCAAGCAAATTTAAGGATAAAACCATATATTAAAAACGATTTCATTCAGTTTATTACAATCCTATCAAAGTCGAAACCGAAATTCTTAAAATTGAGAAACGGAATTCAATCTAGTACTAGCTCTACCATTTAGAGTTTGACTGAATTGTTGGTTAATTCCAGCATTAATATTTGAAAGGAAAATTATTATTTTTTTTATCCTTACGCAGAGCACATCCACGGTGAATATAAATAACACTGTTTCTTTTTTCTTTTGGGGTAAATAATACTGTTGTTTTCCCCTAACTGTCCCTTCTCTGTCGGATCCTGGCCCTTTGCAGCAACCCGTGAGAAGGGTATAAAGGTAATAGAAAAGGGGTTTAGGGTCATTAATTAATTAATGAATACTTTTGATGAAGAAGAAGCTTCATTAATTGTTTGCTTAATTATTCAACGTTATGAAGTCTGGCCAAGACCAAGACGGGTCGTCGAGAACGGCCAAAGATCCGTGGCCGGTGGGCGGTGAACGGGTCTTAATCTATCGAGCTAAATGAAAAGGAAAAGTAAAAGTAAAGCTGTAAATTCGAAGAAAATGAAATTCCGTCGACGGGGAAAGAATGAAAAGAAATTTCACCTGCTGGTGGCGATGGAACAGCGCTGGCCGTAGGGGAACCTGCTCCTCCGGTCGTAACTGAAATTGAAAAGTTACATTCGAATCAAAAAGTCGATCCAGAGAAATTCCAGCTCCGAAAACGAAGCGAATCCGACAAATTCGCGATTCCGGAAAAAGCGGATTAGCTTCAATTGAACCTTTACCTTTGCTGCAAGAGCTGGTATCGGCGCTGATGCCGCAGCGCGTGGTGAGACCTAAGGCCTGGGTGACATTGATCCCGAAGGAAGCAAGGAGCCCGGGAGTGTTGTAGAGGTTGCAGAGGCAAGGCAGCTCCGTCCTCACGGCTTCCTTGATCGGATCGCAGCAGCTCGCCGGCGGAGTGACGGAGGTGTTGCTGATGTAATTTGCGCAGGGGATCAGCTTCGACGCGCACGACGGGGTGTTGGTGCCGCCGCCCTGTGCTTCGGTGACGGTGGTTGCGGTGGCGAGGAGAAGGAGGACTGCTGCTATCATCGCCGCCGCCGTGGTGGAAGCCATTGCTTTGAGGCCGGAGGGTGGATTTTGGGAGTGGTTTGCTTTATGGATCTGTGTAACCGAAGCGACGGAATTGATGGCGAGGCTGTGTGTTGGTTTCGTTTCGTGTCTGTATTTATAACCGCTTGGTGGTGGTGTGAAGTGTGAACTGTGAAGCAGAGGTTGAGTAATGAGCTCCGCTGGCAGAGGCGGACGAGTAAAGAGAGGCCCCAATTCGTGGCCCCACGCGACTCCCCTGCGAGTCTGCGACTGCTGGTCAAGAAATTGGTTCAATTACATAATGATCACAGTACTTCCAGTGTTATGCGGAAATCGTGCTATTGAACTTTCATCTTGAAAAACTTATGACAGAAATTGATTTGTCCTATCTTTTGTACAAACTTTCACTGAGTAAATCTCGACAATTTGGACGTGAAAGCTATATAGATAGTTGAAGCCATTGTTGTGTTAATTGTGTCAAATTATATTACAGTTCGTTGCAGATTAAGTTGATGAATGCGTTGGTATGAACCTAATTTTGGTGAGATTTATGTAATTAACCCTACAGGTTTGGTTATTAAAAGACGAATTCAAATTCAGATTCAAGAAAGAGCCTCTACATTCAAAATAGAAGAAGAAATTTCAACTTTTTATTTTATTTTATAAAGTTCAACAGTTTCTAGATTCACAAATGTGAAAATTATTCACGAAATTCGAATTTTAGAGCTGTCACTGTAAAAGACCAATTCCCCCTGTCCGTGATGCTTAAGCTTTTTTTTTTTTTTGAAAAGCAACCTGAATATTATTAATTAAATCGGTAAAGTGTTTTGACAGTCCCTTTCTAGAGTGCTAAGAATGAAAATTGGGGGTCTCCCCACCCAAACTTTGGTCTCTTCCCATCTACAGCCTACCCTCGCCATTTCATGCGCAACACCATTTCCTCCCCTTCCCCAGAAACGCCAGCGAACATCTCCTCTTTCCAAGCATTTTTCTTTAATTTCTTTCACTACCACCCCCAGCTCTGTCTCAATTTCTCCTCGGCGGTCCAGCTTCTGAATCAGAGTTTGACAGTCCGATTCAATTAGGGTTGGCTGGCGGGCGTAGGATCGCAACAGATCAAGAGCCCAGAGAATAGCCTGAGCTTCCGCCATCTCTGGTTCCCAATCTACACGCGTCCGCCGCACCGCTGCCACCAGCAATCTTCCTTCATCATCGCGCACAACCAGCCCCAGCCCCGTGCCTCCCTCTTTCAACTTAGCTGCATCAACATTCGCCTTTAGCAGGTCCTTCTCGGGGTTCTCCCACCGCACTTCTTGACGGGGAGCTCTCGTCGGGGATGCTTAAGCATTAAGATACTACAAAAGCCAATTGTCAAAAAAGATACTACAAAAAGCCCATATGCAGACCCATGGCCCTATGCACAAGAGTCCGCTAAATTTGAAAAGCCCAAATGCGCATATGGGCCACCAGCCATTTGATTGGACTGTACTGCTAACCGTCCGAGATGCGAATCCCCAAGCCATCAAACATACGGTTAATACTTCCCGCCATCGGGAACACCGCAGCAACAAATCAGAGCCTCTGAATTCTCATAGACCAGATAACGCTATAGCAAAGAAGAGCCTCATCAGTCTCCTCCTGCTCCAGAGCTTCCCAAACGGCCACCAATGGCCGCTCTATTCGGCGTATCCTCAACTCCTAGTGCCGCCTTCGGAATCCGTACGATTCCATCGAGAAGAACCAGCTACGCCACGAGAATCTCCTGCGTCGCATGGGTATCCTTTCACACTCGCCACAATTTCCTTGCCGAAAATTCTTCTTCCGCTGAATTCCGGATAAGCTCGCGATTGCTGACAGTTATCTGTGTGGCTGTTTTCGAAGGTAGGATCCGGAGGGATTATTAGGGGCACAGAAGACAACGGGACACTTAGCTCGCCTCGAGTTCAAGAGACGACTTGAGAAGGACGCCGACGCTCGCGAGGCGTTTGAGAACCATGTCCGCGAAGAGAAAGAGCGTCGCCGAGCACTTCGCGAAGTAAGAAAAAATCAAGTTTGATTGAATTTTCTATTATCTCGATTTCGCCCTCTCGTGTTGTTTTGTGATTGGTGAGTTCTGCGCCTCACGTTGTTATGGTTAATTTGATAGTCTCGGGCGATACCTGATACTGCGGCGGAACTGATAGAGTACTTCCTCGACACTGAAGCTCAGGAGATCGAGTATGAAATTGCCAGGCTTAGGCCACGGTCAGTGCTTCTCTAGTTTGCAGACTTTGTGTTTGTGAATTTGCCTCTGTGGAAAAATTGAATTTGTGCAAATGACGAAAGGTTTGAACTAAAACGTCTATTTTTAGTAAGGGATTTCTAGTGCGCAAGAAGCTGCTTCCAGTGTTTTGTCGCTGTAGCCTGTAGCCATTGGCCATTACTAAGTCGCATTGGGATGTTGTTGTTTGGTTCTCATTTCTGAATTTGGTTGGGATGGTTCCTTCTTGGATGAACGTACCGGATCAATAGAGTAACGAAATTGTGAACTTCAAGCTTCTCGCTTTCCTTGGAACTTCAGCGGGTCTTGTACCATAGCATAGGAGATTTCACTATTAGATGGCTACAGTTCCGCGAAAGTTCAAACTGGCTTTTGCTGTTGTAACGAGCACTGTGCATTGTATTTTATCCTGATGTGTCGAGTATATTTGGACCTTTGCTACTGGTTCTACATTCTGTGAGCCGCCTCATGTTATCAAATTTGATGTTCTAACATGCTATATTTGCAGACTGAACGATGACTTTTTTGGACATCTGCAATTTGAACTTGGGCAGCTTCGTTTTGCTGTTTCAAAGACTGAGGTGTGCTTCAAATTTGGTTGAAACTTCTTTGACTAAGTTGCTTGCACACACGACTCATGTTTTTGCAAATGTTTCTTGATGCATTTGAAGGACATGGAAGACAGAGTGGTTGAATTGGAAACCTTGCAGAAGGCGCTGAAGGAAGGAATAGGTTCTTAGTATACTTGCAAACCCTTTTATTTATAGAGTAGACTTTTTGCTTGCTTGGTGCAAACTTACCCTGAATCCTCGCTTCTTTTGATTTACAGAAGCATATGATCGGATGCAAGGCGAGCTTGTAACAGCGAGGAAAAGCTTAACCACAATCTTGACATCCAAGGACATTAAAGCCACGGTATTTGTTTGTATTCTGTCAAATTATGAAAATCGATTGTTTTTGCTGTTGAATACTCTAATAAGTTCACACTCACACATACTAATTGTTGCCTTTGTGTGATTTTCAGCTATTGGATATGGTTGAGAAGAATGAACTCAATAGATCCTTATTGACACTTCTGGATGAAAACATTTCAAGTGCCCAAAAAGGCAATCAGGTAGCATTTTCTTTGCCCATTTCTTCGTTTTTTCTGTAGTTGTGGCTGTTGGCCTGTCTTTGTGAGTTCTTAGGACTTGTCTACCATGTAGTTTCTTACCTAAACCTCTCCCTTGCCAGTGTTTTGTACTTGAAATATTAGAACTGCATGACAGATAATTGTGGAGGGATGGGTAATGAAATTGTTGAAGTATAATCTCAGAGTGGAATCTGAACGAGCACTAAATGGTAATCACTTCAGTGTCTACTTCCCAAGAGAAATCGTAATAGTGGACTGGTTCTGTTCTTTAGTTTTGCTCTTGTGACATGCATATAATCATCCAAAAATTGCTGATATGGTGATATCAATCATCATAAACGTGAATTCCACACCATCAATCTCACTTTTTTGAATTAATTCCTTTTGAACTTCCACTTCCGAAACAAGTTTTACTGAATTCATTTCTCTCCCACCTACACTAGTTAACAGCGGTTGACATTTTTATACGGACAACTTTGTTCCCTCCTGTGCAGAAAGAAGCAGCTGATTTCATGGAAAAAATCCGTGGGGCTGTTCTAAAGTACGTGACTGTGTAATACTCAGGTGGAAAAGAAAACACTACTCTCTCTCTCTCTCTGAGTCTGTTTTTATATCTGAGTTAGGCCGTTCCAGATTTTGTATCCTAGTGTTAAAGCAATGGTGGTGAGTTATGCTCGTTTTCTGGAAATTATTGTGTACGCTGAATTGGGATCTGCTGCATTAATGTAACCATTTTGGTCGGTTGATCAAATGCCTACTGGTTCTTTGTATAGAATCGTGTGCAGTGCATTTGCTATCTGTTGGCCATGTGGTGTTTGCTCTGCAGCCAGTTGGAGGGGCAACGGCTTGCTAACCAGCTGCCGACTAAAATGGTTTCACGGCGAGCACGTGAGTGCCCATCGAAAGAGCAAAAGGTTAAAATAATTTAAGAGTTGGCTCGAAGCCAACCTGTGGAAAAACCAGCTTTTCTAATTTTAGCCGAAAAACAAGTCTCCAACACATGTCCTGTGTTCTCTCCCTTTTGCTTCACTCTCACTTTAATCTTTTGTTAAATAAGCTTCTTATTATGCTCTGGATTAGAGGGCTGGTTTATAACGACTGTTGATGACTATGAATCGGGTCCTTACAAGTAGGAATGGTCAATAAATATTTGGCAACATTGGGTTGCGAAATGCAAATTGCAGGTCTTTCGAATTATGTGCACTTTCTTTTTGAAAAAAACAATCTGTGTTCTTCCTAATTATCTGGTTTTATTTCAAATCGGGTTGATGGTTTGCATGAGAATGACACATTGTATGAGTTACAACTTGGTAAACTCTAGCCGAGTTTTTCAAATCTTTGACTTGGTATTGGTAGTCAACCTCCATCTTTCTAACATAGCAAATGAAGATCAGTTATATTGTTATTCTGGAGCTGAGCGTGAGGGTCAAATGAAGATGGAATCAGAGCTAGCTGTCGGATCAAACTATCTTCATTCGACTTGTTTATGATGATTTTTAAATGAGCAGTCTAAGAAGGAACCATCGAGAACCCTTTCTTCTTCTCGCTAGCTCAGTAGCTGTGATCATGTGCTGAATATTTTTAGTGGCAATCTCGTAGACAGGCTGTGTCTCTTTGGCCTCTCAAGTTGAAGGGCCACTGTTTTTGAACCTCTTTTCACCTATTATTATTATTATTATTATTATTGAGTCAATGATCACAATCTGATTGCGTTTGTCTACTTAAGTGCCTAATAGTTGAGTGTTGACTTTGAACTCCTCTTTTGTTTAGTGTTTAATTCACAACTTCATTGTCAGAGCTTGTCCTCTGCCTCCAATTTTGAACTTTGATTGAAGATATTTTCACCCGTGGCGGTGTCATCTTCTCTGATTAGAGGTCAAACTAATACTATATTCATCATAGTTAGTAAATACTCCGTTTAATACACGTATACGTACCCATACGTATTTTATCCGTTTAAAACTTCCATATCCATATTATTGTCAAGACGTTTCATTTATTTCCGTTCATTTGATGGTTCCCGTACTAAACGCGTATAAAACCCGTATAACACGTTTAATATCCGTATTTAATGAATTAAATTGTTAAAATTTACTATTTTTATCTATTTATTTTTATAATAATTATTTTTTTATATACTTATGACTATTAACGTACTATTAAACGTAACATTCGGTTAGAGACGAAATAAAATACCCATACGTATTTTATACGTAACTTTGGCGTACCGTATTTTACTAACTATAGTAGAAGTTCCTGTTCGTTAGTACTAGTTCCTGTTCGTCTTTTGTGGACCTTCGTATTCGAGTGATCGAGTCTCTATCTTACTCTGCTAGTTAGTGGCTTAGTGCATTCAATTATATAATAACCTTCTTATACAACCAAGCCAGCCAGCCAGCTATAGTAGAAGTGATTGGGAATTGGATTACAAGATCCAACACCACGAGTTGGTTTGGCAATGAATGGCCGGTGTGATTGGGAACTGGGATTCGCGTAGTTATCTCCCTTGTCCCCCCACACATGCAAAGCTCCGGTGTGATCATGTCATGTTCTTATCTAGTATGACCATGGAAGGCACTACAATCACTCGTACTCAATTAATTTAACGATAGTTTGGTTGGGATAGTTATAATCCATTGTAATGTTCACAATGTATCATTTTTTGTCATGCATAAACAATACATGCATTGTTTGCTTGATGTGACACAAATTATTACTCATTTTAAATTTCAAGTTTTGGTTGAGATTGTTTGATTGAGATTGTTGTGTTTTTTCTTCTTCCAACTATGTCCATACCTTTTTATGTGTGTTGCATTTTTAATTTTTATACTAAAAATGAAGGGTAAAAATGACATTTCCCCCAAAAGTAATGAATTTATTTAAACACTACAATAACTATCAGTCTATCACAGAAACCAAACGATGTAAACTACAATACACCAATTTTCTTATATACGTGTATATTATTACGCATACATTGAAGACAATGCTTCGATTTAAAATGATCCATAACAACTAAGAAAACAAGGTGATTATAATTTTAATGCACTTATGAGTTTTCTTTGTCTCCCTTTCATGAAAGCTACTGCATTATTATTTGTTCATCACACCCAAAAAAAAAAAAATCTTTTTGTGTGCCAATCACCCACATATTCAATACGAACATCTTTGTCCAACAAGACATAATTTGCATCGTTCATGTATGATGCATATATCTATTGTCAAAGTAAAAAAAAAAAAAAAACTTACAAGCTCAGGACAAAATCAGACCATTCTTAACGATTTACAATCTAGATCAAATTGCACAATTGATTTGGTCTATAATTTTTAAAATGATCTGATCTATTTCCCAGTCCTAACTTGCACTTCCAGCTTTTCGAATAACTCACTCCCACCACCTGTATCTCTCATCCAACTATATCCAGCAAACAACGATTTAACAAACCCAAAAACCAGCCAAAGAGATGAAAACCAAGAGGAAGCAAAGCATGTGGGCAGACACAGCCTGTAAATGAATGCACGAACCCTCGTGGAACCAAAGAAAGATATCACTCCATACTCCACACTACTCCCCCAAATCTCACTCCATTTCCCACTATATAAACAACTCCACACCACCCCAAAAATCTCCAAACCACTAGACTTGAGCAAAACTAAAACAACCCACAAAAGATGGCAAAATCACATTTCATCCTCCTCCTTCCTTCTCTCATCCTAGCCCTTTCCCTCTCTCCATCTCCCCACTCCACCACCTCCGCCGCCGCCACCTCATCATCAGCCTTCATCGACTCCTCCTGCGCCGCCACCCGCTACCCCGACCTCTGCCGCCAATCCCTCTCCTCCTACGCCCGCACCCTCCAGCAGAACGACCACCGCCGCCTCGCCCTCGCCGCCTTATCCGTCAGCCTCGCCAAGGCCAAGTCAGTCTCCTCCTACGTCACCCAAGCCGCTGAGCTGGCGTCCAAAAATGGCAACACCAACCCCTCTGTGGTCCAGGCGGTGAAGGACTGCACCCGCAACATGGGCAACGGGGTGAACCGGCTCGACCAGTCGGTCAAGGAGCTCACCGTCCTGGGCGGGCTCGAGGGGGACAAGTTCGAGTGGCACATGAGCAACCTGCAGACGTGGGTCAGCGCGGCGCTGACCGACGAGAACATGTGCGTTGAAGGGTTCGCGGACCGGACCATGGACGGTCCGGTTAAGGTTGGGGTCAGGCGCCGGGTGGTCTACGTGGCTAAGATCACTAGTAACGCTCTCGCTCTAGTTCAGCGGTTCGCGGCGAAGCATGCTCGTGTCGGCCGGCATCATCCTTAGTTATTAATTAATAGACTTATAGCAGTAGTTAATTAGTGTTTCTTTTGTGTGTAACTGTATTAATCACTGTCGTCTTACAAGTAATAAAACGAAGTAGCCTTTGTTTGCTATATATGTTTAATACTCTGCCTTTGAGCATCATTTCGTCACCTTTTCCTTTTGTTTTGCTTGCAATCGATGATCCCCATCCTATCATTAAGTACTGCATTATATATGGTCTTCATAGTTATATGTCAGTGATGCGTCTTGCTTTTAACTTTTTTGTTTCAAAATATTATAAAGATACAACATTTTATATTTTCAATGAGCACTTGTTAACGTTTGACAATTGTTGACCGGTCTTAGCTTCATTGAAGAAAAAAAATATTGATTTACTAAGAATCAATGCCTTGTTAAATATTAAACTTTACTAATGTAGATGGAGCCCAAACCTATCATTTCCAACATTTTGGTAAAATGGAGAAAAACATTATCATCTTTACTATCTTTTTTGTGTGTGTCAAGTTGTTAAATTTCATTTATGAACATCCTATTGCAACAAATGAGAGATTAAGTCTAGAATTTGGATATACTCATAAGGGAGAGAACCTCCCGATGTCTTTTTAACGACCCAAACAGCACATTTTTGTTCATCTATTGTAAATGCCACTCTAATTTGGTCGATTTGAGAAACAACCTGCTTCATATATAATGAATTCAGACATGCACTTGCCATGACCATGATCTACTCCGATCTAGTAAGATGTTGATGATGATTCATTACCAGAAAAATGTGTTTAGTGTCGATTAATTGAACCGACACAAAATTAGGATTTGTATCAGAAATTTTGTTATCAGAGTCGGTTATATGTTGTGTCGGTTCTAACAGACACAAAACTTTGAATTGCGTTGGTTACAACTGACACAAAATTAAATTCCAAATTTTGGCATCTGGCTCTAGATTTTTTAATCACTTGTACAAACCTCCCCCCCCCCCCCCCCTAATATTTCAATTTTGGGATTTTACCTAACTCACTTCGAAATTTCAACCCTAACCTCCTAGCCACTTCCATTCTCCCCCGCACTCGTTTGTACCTACATTTCTTCCCCAACAAAAATACAACTTCATCTTCTTTCCCTCTCCCAAAATCATCCCAATATAAGAGCTTCCTGCTTCCTCGAAGTGGTGGTTACTCATTCAACCGCCTAGGTGCCTCTCTTGGAACCTTCGTGGGTCTTGGAGTGTAGCTTACCTCGCCTGGTCTTGTTTCAAATCTCGTGCCATGCTAGTCCTTTGATAAGCATGTGGTGTCTCACAAAGAGGATCGTGGTCCTCTTGCCTCACGATCATGGACTTCTTACTCTTGGGAGTAGACCGGTTAATGGTATAACCGGCGGCAAAATTTTTATTGTCGGTATGCTGACTCCTTCCCGGTTAGTAACCGACGGTTACTTGGTATATGGAAATACCGAAACTCACCCACCCTTTACTTTCCCTTCTTACAAAACCTTCCTTTTCTCTCTGTCTTGTCTTCTTCCCAAATTGAAAGACTCTCTGCAGAGCAAGGAGAGCAGAAGCAACAACCAACTAGCAAAACTTCCAAGGCAGAGCATATCCGACGAGGAGAAGCAGCAACAGATCCGACGAGATTTTGCGAATTCGGCGAGCAAAAGCAGCAACAAATTTGACGCGATATTGTAGACGGACGTGATTTTGCAGATTTGGCGCAAAGACTCTCTCTCTCCATTGTGCATGCAGTCATCACTTGTATGTTCGGCCGTCCATAGAGGTGTTGCGATGGCGATGAGGGTAAATCAATTCCCTCCTTCATCTTCGAGGCCACTGAATCTCCATATTTGGCTAAAATCGGCAACAAAAGCCTACAACACCACAAGCCCCCAACCCCAATAGCTCCACCATGCATTTATTCTGACGAACTCAACAGCTCCCACGACGCGACACGACATCTCTGACTCGCATCAGATTTATTTCAAAATTCCCATGGTAAGGAAGAAGGGGGGGAACACACACACTTGGAGGTGGTGCATGGCTGTCGTCAACTCGTGCCGTAAGGTGTTGGGCTAAGTCCCGCAAAAAGCGCAACCCTCGTGTTTAGTTGCCACCGTTGAATTTGGAACCCTGAATAACAAGAAAGTTTGACCCCTCCCTCGAATTTATTTTTCCTTTTTTTTGGGGGGGGGGGGGGAACTCAGATTGGACTTTAATGTGTCTCGCAATCTCAATTTTTCGGGGGAGGGCGAATTCTTCAAAAAAAAAAGTGTCTTCCACCCCACCAGTCTTCACCATCTCCGACCCTCGCCAATCGCCGCCTCAACTGCGGATCCTCCTTCAATGATCTTCCCTGCTCCCAACTGCGCAACAGAGGAAAATAATTCAGCCTGTTGTTATTGAATTTTGCAGGATAGAGGTTGGAAGATTGGATCAACGACTATCCTTTGCATTTTTTTGTATTGCGAATCAAGTAATCAAAGGGAGACGGAGAGAAGATGAGGAGTATCAGAGAATGTACTCGATTAACCGGTGCCAAGTATTTAGTCCCTCTTGCTTACCAGGTATTCGGATAACTGGCACGGTAACCGTTAACCGGTTAGCTGGTTAACCGATAATTACTCTGCACTGTTTGTCGATGGCAACTTTGGGCATTTCGGTGTACCGCTAACTGGTACGTCAATAACTGAGTTAACCGGATACCGACCAAATACCACCCTACTTGCTCATGTTCATAGCCTTCTTGTCTCACAGCCATGGATCTCTTGAGACTTAGACACTAGTGATATAATGCTTCACCACCACACCCTTCTCATTCGTGTCTGTGACCCCTCTCGTGACGCTACATAGACTTCTCAATCATGCACATGACCCTCTTGTAAGGCGGCATGTCCTTCCTAGACTTAGTATTTTTTTCAATTGTGCCTAGGACCTCTTGTCTCGCGTCCATGCCCCTTCTCGTGAAATGGCATGGGCCTTTCAGACTTAGTCATTTTTGTTTCCTTTGAGAGATACGTCTCATGGCATGGCTTATTGACCTGTAACCACGTCATGTGCTCTTCATCGCCATCATAACCCATGCATCATCTCGGAAACAGGATTGAAACCCGATTTGACGATACACTTTCTCAGCACGATGTCCGCTAACCCCCGACTCAAAAAGGACCACCATTGAAGGATTATGGCTTTGAACGGGGTTTTTTCTTCTCTGGCTAGTCGTCCATGCATCACACATGGGTTCCTCAAATCACATCTCACGAGGGTACTTATTGGGCAAGGTATCCTACCGCCATTTGCTTGGATGAAAGGAATTTTGCGGCGCGACTTATTCCTCACGTCTATGGGTTTTTTATTATAAAATCTCGTGGTGTGACATTACCTCTTGCGAAAGGCCCATATCCTTCATGGAATCATGTCCATGCTTATTGTGTCTTAGGGGTCGTTTGGAAATTGAGATTCTTCTAATTTGTGTATTTGATGAATACATCTATTGTAAATACAAAGATTGTAAGAATTATATGATTGGAAGAATGTCTTGTTTGGTTGTAGTCATTCAAAAATTTTAAAGAAAAGAAAAAATCACTTTATGAGCTAAAAGTGGAACAAATTAAAGCTCACAATCTCAAATGAAGAATCTCACGTTTTTGTTGAGATTTAAATGAGTGATTGTGGGTGATATGAGATTTGAGGGCCCACCTCAAATGCATGTATTGAATAAAGTTTTGGAACAAAAAGACGATGGATTCTCCAGAATACATGAATTCAAAGAATCATTCATCTAGAATCATAACTTCCAAACGACCCCTTTGTGATTTGGGCTTAAAATCAATATTCACTAAGGGGTCGTTTGGAATTTGTGATTGTTAGAGTTATGTTTGTTGAATACATGTATTGTGCACAATACAAATGTTTGGAAGTGCCAAAGTGTTAAACAATGCATGCATTGTGTTAGAATATGGCTTGAATTTGATTTGAGTTTGTTTTGTGTTTTGGGTTTGTGTTTGGGCTTTGTTTTGACATTTCCCTTGTATGTTTGAGAAAATGTGTTTTGGTTTTCTGTTTGGGATTATGAGAAGAGTTCTATAAATACTATTTATCACCCTAGTATGTAGTAAGGTCAGTCGGGTTAGTTTGTTTTGTTTGTCCATTCCGGAATTTGGTTTGTAACATGTACTCTCCTCAAATTAGTGAAATTTGTTCTCCACTGCCATTGGATTAGCTAGCTAGCACACATTGTGTTAGTGAACCACTTTAAATTTGTGTTCGTTCGTGTTGGTTTGGATTATCGATTGCCCGCTTCCGGTTCTGACACATTATTTTAGGTAGGTCCCACCAACAATCACAAAAAATGATGCATTATACAATTTCAACTAAAAGTTGAGATTGTTGGTTTTAGATTTGTGTCAACTTTATCTTTCCATTTATATCCCCAATAGTTTTTGTTTATTCTAAAAGTTGAGGGTAATGTGACATTTCCCCGTAAAAGTAACTTTATGTAAATCAATGCATAAAGTAAAATCTCAACAATCAAATAATATATTATTAAAATGCATCCATTACATCAATACGTGCATTTATATTATGGTGATTCATTACAATGCAATGATTTAACATTCGCAACTTCCAAACGAAACCTAAATTCATTAATTGCCTTGTAAACCATCAATATTATACAATATTATTTTAGGCGTAAACATAAACTTATTAACCACATCGGAAATTTGGCTGCCGCCTGGTCTTCTGCTCGGAGCCGTCGCCGCACTTTTCCCCCTTCCTTTTGAACAGTTAGTCGTGAGTGGACTCGGGTCGGGTTGGACAACTCGCTACCTTCCTCTAATAATACTCCACAGTCTACTGTGTTTCTTCTTCTTCTGGTTCCACAGACAGTTAGAGAGAGAAAGCGATTATGGTAGAAAGGGAGAGATTTTATTTGAATTCAGCTTCTAAATTATTATTATTAATTTTTTTTATTTCTTTTTTAGTTTTCTGCGCTGGCCTTATATTTTCTTGC